CGAGTCAACCGAGGTGAACCGCGCTCGGGCTGCCGAGGAAGGGACCGGTGCCAAAAACGCACTCCTCGGTTCCGCCAGCGGCAAAATGTGGCCGGGGAGAAAATAAAATAAGAAGTCAATGCAGTAACTTTTAACAGCGCACATGAATGGGAAGCGGTGACATTTACGAGACCATAATTAAAGTTGGGTTTTCTTAAAAAGATGCTTGTTCCATGTAAGTGAACGCTATTAACCAACCTTAGGCCAATATTACTTAACTTTTGTCGGTTTCATAAGCTTATATTGTGCAAGTTGCAGTTTGTAAAACGAGCAGGTGTCGATAGTTTAGCCCCCTCATACTGTGAACTTACAACTCAACATTCACCATAGCAGATGGTACGAAATAAGGATAATAATATTTAAATTGTTATAAATAAATAATAGTTGCAGCCCCACTGTCAAATTCGCTGCCGGATGAAAGTCTCCGTGCGCCAAATCGGTCATGGGGTTGTTGTTTTTTTAACCATACTTCACCGCTCTTGGTCAGTGTCAATTGGTGAAGAGGAGGAGCCCAGGGCCAGTTCAGATGTTCCTCGCCAATGGTGTCGGCAATGGCTGATGATTGAGCTCCGGCTATCAGGGTTATAGGGCAGTGCGCTGACCACAGAGTGCCACCCAATCCCTCCCAATTGAAATGTATAAATTGTCTGCACGATCAGAATATCTGAAGATGCTGTACGAGATGACCGTGTAACCGTGAACAGTACATGTATACAAACATTATTTTAACTAATGTTGTTGTCGGCCTGTCATTTCCCCGCTGATGGGTAAAGGACTTCCCGATTTTCTTCCATTCCTTTCCTTAGTTGGTCCTGTCCAGTCGTGGCCTCAACTTTTTTATTCCATCTAATTGCCATATATCAGAATCTTTACTTGTCTTGGAGGAATTTGATAAGCTATAAAGCTCCATTTTTATAGGCTCTTCCTCTGCTTATTTTACCGTCTCTTTCTGTCAACTCCACAGTTAATTTAATCTCTAATCGCTCATCTGTCGTTCTGTTGATGTGGCCTTCCCATCACCACTTGATTTCCCTTTTTGCTTAAACATACTAATCGTAGCCAGTGCGTTCAAACTTTGAACTGGACGAACACAAAGCACTGAAAAATGTTAAAGGGACACATTTAATCGTGTATCTATCTGTAACCTCCATTAAAATGCTTTTGAGTTTGTTAACTTGATGAAATTAAACAAAAATACCACGATCGTTTCAATGTGTCTGCAAGTGAGGCTTGCCAAAAAACATTTCGCCATAAAATGTCTGCGGTTTTTTTGGCACGCGTGGTGAATGAAGCCCCCTGTAACACAACCGTGTAGAGGCACCAGGGTTGCGGTGAAGCCCTCTTTGGTGAGACGATATTACATTTCATGATATGAAGATTGTTATTACGATTTCAGTTTCCTGTAACTTTGTAATTCGCATTTTTCGGTGTATTGTCTTTTTGCTCATCTGTACTTCCAGTTAAAATACGGATGATTTAAACATTATTCAACTGCATAATCCATAACAACTTATCACGCGTGTGCTATCAATTACCCTAACCATAACCAAACAATTCACGAAATGAACTATTCAAATTATGACATTTACTCAAACATGTTTTCAAGCATTAAATTGATTGATGGCACTTAGCCCCAGGTGATGAATTGTCTAATATATCTCTGGCACTGATAAATAGTCAGAATAATTTTTTTCAGGAAGACGACATGAGCTACGATGACAATATACAGTGGTGTTTTGCAAAACGGACGGAACCATTATATTATCACGGGAACTTGTACCGTGTGATATCGCATTTTATCAAAATCAGAATATTTACACTGGAGGAATCCGATGAGCTACAAAGCTCTTGTTCACAGATGTGCAGTCGGGGGCACGGGGTCAGAACGTTACATTGCCATTTCATGGCGACCCAAGCAGGCCCACGAGGAGTGCCACGCGACAAATCGCCAGCGTGGATCATTTTGTGCTTGGGGATCGAGCGTGCTCTCCGCGGTGTCTGTGTGCATGACAGTAGCTGGCGCAAATACTTAATGTGGACTTCGTGCTGTATTTGAAAGTCAAGGGCAGTCTCGCTCACGCGCGCACCGCACCGTGTAACTTTATTGAAATGCCCGCGCGTGCACACTCGCTGAAAACGATGGGCTCGTCCGTACAAGGCGAGATTGTCGCCACGTGAATGTAATTGAGACGAGGGAAGGTAAGTTACAGAATGTGTGTGTGTGTGATGCTATTGTTTACTTTAAAAATAGTCTCGTCTGGCTCCATTTGTACGTGTGTGTAGATGCTATTGCTGTGTTGACACTGTGATATATGGAACCACTGTTAATGATGAACCACAGCTTCGTGTGTGTGTGCGTGCTTCAAAGCAACAATTATTTGTGTTCAATGCCCAAGGCTTCTTGTTGTTGTTGTCACAAGTAGGCAACAAATCTGTTTTATATTTATGTTAATAATTGACCAATTCACCTGGGGTATGTATGCACGTATGTTGAACATCTTTTCGCAGCGTACGTAGCCAACAGTGCGAATCGGGAGTGCACCTGATCTTGGAGGCGAAGCAGCGTTGACCCTGGATAGTGCTTGGATGGGCAACCACTATGCGTGGCAGGTTATTGTAGGCTATGGACCGTGGCAGTCCACTGTAGAAGGCAAGCGGTTGCAGTAGGACAGCAACGTCCATTGTTGTTGTCCAGTACGATTCTTCCATAATATAGGTTTTTGGGTCAGATCGCGTTGTTTATAAATGTGTCGTAACCCTCCACCACCCGACATGGCCAAATAGTAAAAAATGTGTCACGTTTTTCAAAGGACAAAATAATTCACTTCTTTAGCCCACTGGTGTGTTGAAGAGAGAATCAACAGCATTTTAAAATTTGAGTACGACGTTTCGCTGGTAATTACAATCAGCTTCATCGGGCAAGAATGGTGAAGCTTTCCTGTTGCTCCCGGTCTTAAATAGAGCAGCAGCAGGGTGACGTCATCGTTTAATTCAATCTGGTGCAGTGATTCGAGGCAAAGAGGGGGATGGTATTGTAATTATATAGATTAGTAATCATTCAATTGTTATTCATGAGTATTTGTTTCCCTTATAGGGAATTGTAATTGTATTTATTTAATAATACGCTTCCAGGCCGCACTAAGCCTGTAGCTGCCAGAGCGATTGAAGTTATTTCTGTTTCTCTCAACTTCAATGGATTCTCTGATTGGTCTTGGCCAGTAATAATTAGTTTTACACAACACTTCAACGTTATCAAAATCAATTGAGTGTCCTTGTTGACAAGCATGCTCTGCCACTGCCGACAGTTGTGTTTGGGATAATTTAATATTTCTTTGGTGTTACACTGACTATTCTTCCAGCCTTCACTGACCAGCATGGCCAAAGTACGGCGATGACACGAGAAGGCCTTCATTCAGCATCGGAGTGGAACATGGCTGATGATGATTGACGATGACGATGATATTTAGTGGCCGTGTGTTTTTAGAAATGTTCACACCGCTGAGCAATGCCAAGCTCGCACTCGCGTGTCACCGACGCTCCGCTGGATCTCTTCTCACGTCTGTTTTGCGGCCGTAAAAAGCACGCCGGTGCTGGACCCAACCTATCTGCGCTTGCTGCCTTTTGCAATTCCCCCCCCCCATTGGCAGTGTTCTTCTGCCGATTTTATGAAGGGCTACCGGAATTTAAAATGAAGGGTTCGGGATTGTCAGAAGTGTGGCATCTGCCGTAAAGTGCAATTAAAGCCGCGCCATCTGTTACAATTCTGACCTTGGGAGTGTCCACGTGACACTATTCACGAGCGAAGGTTGCTGGGGTCATAACCCCAAGCCAACATTTGAGAAAATGTAAATAGCGTATAACGGTCATGTGCACATTGGGTGAAATAACCGTGAAGATATAGTCACGCTTGGTTCACGCTAATTTATGAGCATGCAATCGCACGTAACAGCCAGGTCTGTCGATTTGAAATGCGCAGAGTTGGGGTAGAGCTGTGGGCGGTGTGGGGCAGTGGTTTGCCCACGGCGCTGTAAGCCGTCCGTGATCTCTGCACGGGTGAACACTCATTAAGCGACACTGACCAATGCATGCTGAAGTCCACTCAAACCACCGCCAAAACTTTTTTGGAGAAGCCTTCATCCAGCAGTGGATTTACAAAAGCCTGTAAATTATCATTAGTTACTAAGTTCAGTTTTATGCCTCCTACTTCTGAACGAACTTGATGATGATATGTCAGAATGAGACGTAGGCTACGGTTGAAATGCATTAACATTATCATTGTCCAAACAAACCAATAGACGATTAAACAAAAAAAAGCTTTAGGGCCCAAAGAAACCCAAGGGGCCCACATGAATGAAAAATAGGAATTCATCAAATATGGACTCGTTCAGATCCTAATAAACATGAACAAAAATAAAATTTACATAATCAATTAATGAATCTCTCATCTCAGTCGTGTCTAGAGCTAAGTTGGACATGTGTATGTTGATTCGGAGGTGCCGGGGAAAACAATGACCCATACCAAATACGTGCACGTGGTATGCTGATGTGAAGCTCGTCATCGTGCCAGCTACCTCTGGATTGCAAGTCCAGCACGATTACCATGAGACCACAGTCGCATCCCATTGCCGTAGAGAAGGGGGGCCCGAATTATTTGTCGAGTTCTCATTGAGTAACACCAAGGTGTGTTGACGTGTGGTGAAAAGAGAGTTGGGGTGGGAACAGAAGTGGACTTCTGCCTAGGGTTGCCAATGGGCTGCATCACCACAGCCGATGATGATGATGATGATAACGACGGTGCTCTTAGTTGCTTGTTGTTGTAACTGTTGTCACTGTCTGACACGCGCTACGGGGACATCTGCGGAAAAAAGAGCTTCATAGCTCATCGGATTCCTCAAGTCCTAAAATAAAGGTTCGCCCGTTCGCTCACTCAACGTTTATTTTTTTTTTGCAAATGCGAGCAGAACCGGGTGGAATGAGCCCAAGATGGACCACGTGATGGCCGCGATGGTGCTGACCAGCCTGTCCTCCAGCTGCCCTAGCGCGTCACCTGGGTCCCTCACCATGCCGGCCTTCAACACCCCGGACGCACCCCTCCCCTCGGAGCCAGCTCCCAAGTGTGAGTAACCCCAACTGCTCTTTGACCTTCCGCCGGACACTGACTTTTCTCCGGGTTGAGGAAGTTCGCAAGGAATTTGGGGGTCTCTCTCTCGGGGGGTCAGCCGTGCAATGCAAAACCAAAGCGGAGGGGTGTTGTGTACACAGGGTCGGGGGCTGTGGGGGGTTGTGCCAGGACAAGAGCCGAAATAATGCAGAGTATTTTCCGCTCCGCAGCATCGCTAAGTCATTGAGCAGACTGTGGTTTCTGCAACCATTCACAGCGCCGCTCCTCCGGGGGCATATCCTGGCAGTAGTGCAGTTCAAACAACACGTACGTTAGATCCATACGGGTAAACTCGATTCACCCGTTTGTGGATTATCCCGTGTCGCCGATGTTAACCGTGGTTGTTGTGAAAAAAATTAATGAAAAGGTCTTTGCCTTACACGCTCGTTTAGTTTGTAGCTGCTCCTCACTCGCCGCGGGTCGGTGACTCGGTACCAGCGTGACTGAAAAACATGCCGGCATGTAATACTTGGGGTTTTTATAGCCAATTGTAAGTTTTTTTTGCATGATCCTCGTTTTGGTATTATCCAGCCCATCCCTCACCCCACCTCCCGATTGTTGCCGCCGTGTAATCGAGAGTTGACCGCATTTGAAATGATCGGCATTGCCTGGCAGTGTTGGCTGTCAGCTGCTAACCCGTTCACAGTAAAAAAAAAAACTCAACCCGTTCATCAATAACGCTGCCTTGAAAAGGGAAACAAATCTATAATAGGTGACATTTTCGAACAATGGTCCTTCTTTATAGCACGAAAATAGATGCTGGAAAGATAGCGTGGGTAAGAGTTGGAGACCTGCAGCTTTTGCGAATTAAATTTAGCGGGACAGCCAGGCACCGCATTTCAGAGCGGTAAAATTTTGATGCATGAATGTTTGTAAGTGGCAGTTGTAATTTTCCACCAATATTAGCAGTTGTAAAAAAGCTTCGCACTCATAAGGCCGTGAATGAAAAGTAGTAGTGTCCTTGATCCGTTTATACATTTGTTTTTCGAATGTACGATAGAATAATGGAATCCAGTACGCATTTAGTCACGCTCAAACTGACTTGGCACGAGTGAACGTTTCAAAACCGCACGGCGGCACGTTCGATTGCGAGTTTGGTCGAGCGGCAAGCTGTCGTAAGGCAACAGTGGGCAGGGCCCATCAGTTGCAGTGTGGTACCTTCCAACAAAGACAAACATTCACCCTCCCCCCATATAGCGTCAATAACAGGCTGTTGGGGCAACTGCCGTTAGCGAGCACCTAATGAAGGCCAGCACGGCACACGACGGGGTGGGTGGCCAGCACCACGCACAACCACCTTTGTCTCCCCAGTTGCGACGTTTGCACACCCACACAAGGTACCCGCTTGGCTGTGAGCGGGAATCAACGTTCCACACCACAGGGCCGGACTTTTATTTTTATTGTTAGATATTTCATTATGTGCAGCAAAATCAATAATGTATTTTTTAAAAAACGTACATGCGATTGTCAACGCAACAAAAAAATCTAACTTAATCACATTGATAAGTGCACCGATGTCCAGGATTTAATGTGCAGTGGCATGTCGAGTAATTCTGGGTTGCGCTGACGTTGCGTTTATTTTGTTTGGGGTGAGGTCAGGTCTTCTTCATACGGCCCAGTTGGCTTCATGCGCCAGTTCTTCCGTCTCGCCCAGTGCGCGATTTAAATGCCGTCCCAACGAAAGTTGGGGAAAATGAGAAATGACTGCGCTTAATTGAGTAAAACTGTCTCAGCTGATGAAATCCACATTTGATACTTTCTTCTTACTAATGTAAACACAGTTTGCCGTCCATCATTTACCTCTACTTTGCGATCTCGTGTTTCACCATCACATGTTAGTCCAATATTGCTAGGATTCATACACACATGTGTTTACTAGCATCCACACACTTTTTTTGTTTTTCAAAAAATTCTCCCAACATTTCAAAAGTTATAAGAATGTAGTCCAAATTGCATGCACATGTGTTGCTAGACTGTGTATCATAAAGGCTTTGTTGGGTGGTGTGTTATTGCAGTTAGTGTTTTGAGCCTTTATGGCAATAGGGGTCATGTGAATGTGTCGTATTTAAATTCAATTTCTCAGGTCCATAATTCCATGCACGTGTCGTGAGCGTAAACATCGATTTTCTTATTTTTTATCTGTATCATTACATCCACCGTAGGTTGTGTTCATCCGATTTTCGTCAGCCTCGACATTAACTCGCTTCTGCTCAATTATTCTCAACTTTTCCACAAGAGCATTAAACAACGGACACTTACAATTAAACTCTTGTCCGCGTGCCTCCTCTACGTCCAAGTAATCGCTCGATGCGAACGCACGTTCGGGATGCATCCCCCGCGACAATTAGCGTGGATTGTCGTGACTCCCGCCGTTGTAGCGATGCCAGCTAGTGACGCGCGATGCCAGATCGTGACGTGCACCGCCTGCGCAATTAACCTGGCACGGCACGGTCCGCTCTGCACGTGCGTGTGTGTGCAGTCTTCTGTGCCAGCTCCTGGCCCGAGCACGACGCCACGTCTGTGAGCTGCGGCGGCAGTGACGACGGCAGAGGTGGCGGCGCTTCCCGCGTGGCCGAGTGCGGTTGGGACGCGGCCAGCACCGACCGCCGCTCCCAGCCGTCCACGCCATCGCCCAAGCCGCTGGCTCATGATGCAATCCTGCCCTTCCGTTTCGAGTCCGGGTCCTCCGAGCAGCGCGGAGATGACGACCTGACCACCGGGCGGCAGCAGCAGCAGCAGCAACCGCAGCAACAAACGCAGCAGCAACCGCAGCAGCAACTGCAGCAGCAACCGCAGCGGCAGCAGCAGCCTCCGCAGCAACAGCGCCAGCGTGTGAAACACGAGGCTGATATGGCTGGCAGGTGCCGTAACCAGCCGCAGCCGCCACCGCCGCCACCGTCATTTCTCGCCACGTCTGGCGCGACGGGGAAATGTGCGGCGCACGGAGCCGTGGTCGCTTCGTTCGCTCGGCCGGCGCTGAAAGCAAAGGAGCCCAAGGCCGCGTCCAAAACGTTCTTCAACGGCTCGCAGGCGCGCGGCATCAGCGGCACGCTCCCCGCGCGCTTGCCTCCGTCGAGCGAGCACGCACCGCCGCCGCTGCCCGTGCGCCAGCCCGACAGCACGTGGGAAGCTCGGGGCGCTGGCGGCACCGCCGCCACCGTCGGTGGGGGGCAGCCCCCCCCCGTGTTCCTGTGCGGCGCTGCAAGGGGGGGCGGCGCCGACGGCGCCGGCTTCAGAGTGGCGAACGTGAGGATGAGCGAGGACGGAGACATGGAGGGGGGCTCGTTTTTGGACGAGCCGTCGCCCAGGAAGAGAAAGGTACGCGCACGAGCCAAATGTCGTCCTGGTGGTCGGCTTGGCATGAGTTGTGCACGTCAAGAGAGGTTACTGGGCGGCCAGAGCGGGGGCGCGTCGCGGGCAGGGATGACGGAGGAGGCCGGTTTGTTGAGGGTTGCATTGGAGTGGCAGCCAATGGAGGGAATGCGCCAGAGTGGACGGCCCATCACGGAGGTGGACTGATTTGCGAAGTCGACTCCTGTGCAGGTGCTAAGTGAGTTGTGGCAGATGGTGACGGCTTCGGGAGACCTTCAGCCAGCAGTGCATTGATAATGGCTGATGATGAGTGTTCATTTGTTGGCAGCAGTCGTGAATTGTACGAGCCACCAAGGCAAGTCGTTTGGCCACTCTGTGCTGAGCTGTCTGACTTTGTTGCTAGGTGTTAATTAGAGGACATGAAAAGGCACTAATTGCACAAAACTGACCTGGCAATGAGCATGTTGGAGTAATTCACTTTTAGTAGGGCCACAGTGGTGCGACTGTAAAATCCAGCGCGCAGGTCTCGTATCCTAGAGACGCGAGGTTTCATTCCAGGTTAACGTGTTTATAGGCATCTGGGATAAGTTCCTCAATTCATCATTGTCTTTGCCCACTTTGCGGTACATGACGGTGAGACAGTTGCTGCATTAAGGGGGGCGCTGGTGGGGTGAAGTGTGGGTAACGTTCACAAAATAATGTGAAACATTTGAATGGATTTTGCACAAAGGGGAATGTGATCCTCGCATACCAATTCCACTTTCTCGCCACTTGTTGCATCGTACTGGGCATTTGTGACAGAGCTTCAAACCTCAACGGATTTCTCCGGGATAAATGAAGGTTCTGATTCTGTCGCAAGTCAGGGTCGTGACTCGAGATTCGCTCGCTTTCACATTTTAAATGAAACGTTGCAGTTTCTAGTGGGGTCACGCAAACCTCTTGCAACGAATACGAAATATAAAGGCATCGATTCTTACACATGCGACGTGGTGCAAGTATCAGTTCTGCAGTTTAAAGTTCATTTCGCGTAGCTAAAAAACAAAGACATCATGACTGGCATTGGTCAAACGTCCGAAAGCTGATAAATTAACGGCAAGTTACTCAATTGGAATTATAAATAGCAAGCATCGTCCCATCCTGTAAAAACTTGATGACCCTCCCTGAAAAAGCATCTTGAAACCCAATGATGCTTTCCCGGGTAAACAAGTGTAATAATAAAACATGTGTCATAATAAATCGTGAGCTTAAGAATTGACATTAATCCATGCGGTTCATCGGTATGGCACTGCAGCACCCATGCTGTGCAGGGCTGACCTCTTGCGTTGGTTGCATCTTCATTGCCGCTTCATTGAACGCGTCGCGCATTGCTCGTGCTGCGTTGTGTTTTTGTTTGCTGCCGAGCGAACGCAGAACTCGTTGAAGGTGATGTTCCAGTGCATGTGGCCCAACTGCGAGAAAGTCCTGAGCACCGCGTCGGGGATGCAGAGACACATTCGCCGACTGCATCTTGGGTGAGCTGGCTGCTGCAGCTGCTGCTGCCGCCGCCGCCGCCGATCCAGCAAAGGAGTACTTAATTCTCGAAAGCATGAGTGACGGACGCTTTTCCTTACCGAGGGCCAACTAAGACGTCGGGATATCTTTTTTCTTTCGTATGGCTGATGTAGACGCAAAACAACGGCTGCAATTTCACATTCAGGTTGTCCAAGTCAGATAGTCGCTTCAGGAGCAGCAGAGTGTGTACCCGCGGCGATGTCTCCTTCGCATTTGTGGAAGGAGACAGTACAGGGATACACTCCGCCCGCTGCTGCTGCTGACGTTGGGATATTGATGGCGTGATGCGTTAACGCGTCCACCTTCGCCGCTTTTGTCACTACCGCAAGAGGCCCTTGTGGTGACCGGGCGATATAGTCGCTTCTGGGGGTGGGGGGAGGGGGTGAAAATACTCTCCCTCTAGAACCGGATTAGTGCTGTTACAGTAACTTGCGGTAAAGAATACATTTGTCATCTGGTAAATTATTACCTATGATTGCCTGTCTGAGGCAAGTTTGACCTGCTTGGTGCTTCCTTTGGTGGGGGGGAGGGGAAGCTCTTCAAATGAACTTCCATGTGCGTCGCGTTGGCACCCGGCAACTTGGTAACAAGTGCGGCAGACGCTACACCGTTCCCCAAAGTAAAGATTCCCTGTGTCTTTAGAAACTGACGCAGATTGTCTTCGTAGGTGTCTGCTAGGTGAAAGCTATTTGGTTTGAGGTTACGTTTTCCCTCTGTGGGATGTAGACCAATAAACTAGAATGGAGTGTAAATTAGTAAACCACGATGGTATTTAAAATGTTATAAACGATTGCATCCTCATAGAAACCCTTTGCTGGCTTGCGACGTTTCTCTTAAAGCGTTATGGGAAATGTGCAGCGCCCTCTGGTGTCTGGGTAAAGCAATTTTTAAGTTGCATATCCTCTAACTTGGGACATCCTCCAGTGAGTGCATAGGGGTGTGTGTGTGCGCTACTCTGCCCCACTCCGTATCGGTCTATTCTAGGCTAACATTAACCAGCAGCAATTTGTCTAAAGCATAAACTCTGTGGACTCATTTAATCTGGTTTTTCAGATGTTATTGGCAATGGCTGTGCATCTCCACCGCACTTACCAGCATGGTGAAGTATGCTGAAGTAACCATCGCAAGCTGCGTGGGGCGGGGAGACCGTCATTCAGCAGTAGATTGACGAAAAGGCCATAAATTATTATTTTGGTAGTAATGGGCCACCACAGTGGCGGTTCAATATCTTGTCAAGATGAGGAATCAGCGATTTGTGCGGACGTGAGTCATTGACAAAAAGGCTGCCCACGTGTGCGGTGCAAACAAAAATGCTTTGCAAATCTCTGCCCCCCCCCCTACCCCCAACATCCCTCGTCAGCCGCAACAGTGACTCGGACCTGAGCGACGGCGAGGAGGACTTCTACTACTCGGAGATGGAGGTGAACATGGACTCGCTGACGGACGGACTCAGCAGCCTGGCGCCCGTGTCCCCCACGGCGGTGATAGCGCCGCCCGTCTTCCCTGCGCCGTCGTCGCCGCCGCCGCCGTCGTCGCTGCACCCGTCGGGGGTGTGCCGCTCGCACAGCATGGCCGGCAAGAGGGAGCCGCACCCTCCCACGCAGCTCAGCCGCTCGGCGCCCACCAGCTTCTGGCACCCGGTGCACACGGACCACGCGTACCAGGTAGGCGATCGCCACTGGCCGCACGCACGCACGCGGGTGGGTGGGTGGTGGGCTTTACCTGGTAAGATAGAAATGGTTTTTCGTTTTATTTGTGTTTATTTTTTTGAATTTAGGATTGAAGCTTTCGTGACTGCAGGAATTACTATACTCATTGGTTCTTTCGGTGTTCATACTCTTAGGTTGTTTCGGTAAAGTCACGTAGGTAAAAAAATAATAAAAATAATAATAGAAATAAAATTATTAATCACGACGTTTCGGAGGCAACACAAGTCTCCGTCATCAGGTGGGACCGCCACAGCTAAATTTACTGTATCAAGTGAGGTTGTGTTGCCTCCGAAACGTCGTGATTTATTATTTTATTTCTATTATTATTTTTATTTTTACCTACGTGACTTTACCGAAAAAACCTAAGAGTATGAATCCTTGCAGTCACAAAAGCTTCAAATCTTTCGGTGTTGTTGGCCGACTGGGTTGCATCGCATTATATTTCTAAGGTTTGCCGAGTTCCCGTCTCCCATCATCTTGCTGTATTTGCCTCCGTGCAGTTTGCCGTTTGCGGTGTGCTCTGTGTGCGATGCCCCTCTGTGTGTTCCCTCACTGTGTGGTTTACTCCATTTTCACCGGAGGTCGAGCGCTTGTGTTGCATTCGAAACGTCGTGATTTATTTTAATTTTATTTCTACATACGTGACTTTACCGAAAGAACCAATGAGTATTTTTTTTTAGTTATTGGTTTACCTTTCCTATACGTTGCACTCCTGTCGTGTTTGTACGTTGTGTTTGTTGTTGTAACTTTCAGACCCCGTGCCTCTCCTGGACATCTGTGAAGAGCTTAGTAGCTCATCGGATTCCTCCAGGATAAATCAATATTCTGATGACGCATGTAACTATTCACCCTGCTTGTCAATTGATGCATTGAATCGGTTTGGTAAAACTAATTTCCACCCTAAGTGATAGATGTGAAGTGATTTTTTTCAATGTTCAAGTTCTTTCGCACCGCACGTAGCCAACCGTGCTCATCGGAGGTGCAAGCTATTAAGATGTGTACGGCGTATTGTACACCGTATTGAGATGTGTTCGCATTTGGACACTATAAATTGGCCCCGCGATTCTATCCGGGTGTAGATTATTACTGTTTTACATTGCAATGTGTATTTGTAGAGCCTTCCGTGGCTGCAGGAGTTGCGTAAACTAATTGCATGCAACACGTAGTTATCAAAAATAATTTTTACTCACATGTGATCATAGCATTTATCGTGAGCATAAGAATCAATACTAATCCATGAAGGTATCATTAAGCCTCTTGCCCGTAACAGTCTGCTGTTCCGATTCAAAGTGGTTTTCTGCTAATTTCTTCTTTACTGCCCCTGAGTCTGTGGAAATTCCACAGTCCTATGGCAGGGCCTGAGTCTGCAGAGACAACCACAATAGGCAGGTGTAGGCAGTAGCAGTGGGTGAGACAAAATCTATTATTATAACAAATAATATATAATGTATGGTAAAGCACAGTCCGCGATGACACTGAGATGCGTACGCAGGCCGAAGAAAGACTGAGGCGCGTGGGTAGCATCTAGAAGCATCCAGCAGCATCCCAGTGCCTTGCGTGACGCTACGCCGAGGCAGCCGCACAACCGCTTGTTCCTACTCGCGTCGCGCGACCTAGCTCCGTTCACTCGATGGCATTATATCAAATTCGCGTTCGCGTTCTAACAAAAATGTGTTCCCTAATATATTCATCGCGTTATATATCCAATTCGCGTTCTGAAAACACGCGTTATAGGAGAACAGACTGCACCTGCAAATGACTCATTTGGGATGACACACACAGCAGTGAGATTGCCCCTTCCTGCTAAAACTTGGCAGGACCCTCCTCGAAACAGTCTCGAGACTCTGAGCTGTTCCCTGGGTAAACAAGCGTAAACAAAACGCAACGAATCTGGCAGCGCTAATGGTGAGCGAGTGAGTGAGGTGTGCTTGGCAACAGCGCATGCCTGCAGTGGGCAAAAGGGTGGACGTGCACTTGCGCACGCACTCAGGCACTCACTCACAGCCTGTGTTGATGTTTCCCAACACCAGCCCCCAGGAATGGGCAAATTGTGGTTCTCATACAGGTATGTAATAAAAATGTGGGTTTTTTTCTAAACATAAATATAACTGATTTTATAAAAATGTTGAACATTGGCTTGGGAATGCTTCATATGCGTTAAGTACAAACGCCGCATTTGCAGGCGTGTTAAATTAACATGTTGGCAATGATGCACTTTTTTACGTGCCAAAACAAAAGTAGAGATTATGACTTGGCAGAATACAGTAGTAGGTCACATAAGACAGAAAACAGGATCTGGCTGGCATATGCCTCGTATAAACGGATAGGTTATATTTGTTGGGTTAACGTAGTGGCAAGGACCACACGATCGTCCATTGCTGTTTTCGTCAATAGCGTGCGTTGTGTAACGCGACAAAAAAGCCCTTCTGTGCACAAACATGTAAACTACTTCCATCGCTGCCAGATGAGAAAGCACCAACCTTTTTTTATGTTTGACTTGCGGCTCGCGTAAATATTCCCTTGGTATTTATTACTCTCATACTGCCAAATCGGGGGGGATAGAAGCAGCACTGCTTGGCATGGCAGCAGTTGATGCCCATGCGCCGCTTCTAAATCGTTAGCCTCTTTGAATGTTTTCCTCTCTCTCCGTTACTCTTCTGTTGGTTGGTTGATTGTGAGTACGCCTGCGGTGAGGACGTGCACAGGCAATGTGGCGTACAGAATATCATTTGTTTTGGTGTAATTCGCACACCGTATCGTGCCGTTTACTGGGCATAAGCTGCGGGGTAGATTTTACGTCTGTTTTGTAGAGTCCATTCATTTTTGATTTGGCAACACTTAGCACTCGCATCGGCCATTTAAAAACTACACTGCAAGATCGTATTAAAATCATGATATTGGTGTGCGCACAAACGTCGTGTGCCTCTGCCCATATGTAAACACTTGGCTCTGTCTCTGTAACCCATCGGAGCCCACTTCAAAATGTTCTTATGCACCTAACCTGGTACATGCACCGGTGCCAGGTGTCGCCGCCATTGGGTTATGGCATTCGCTGTACTGTAGTGCCCAAGGGCTTAATTCAGCCGGGGTCTGAAGTCTGCAGACTTGGAAAGTATTTCCGTACCCAGAAAACTGCATTTAATACTTCTAGATTTGAAGCTTTCGTGACTGCAAGGATTCATATTCTTAGGTTTTTTCGGTAAAGTCACGTAGGTAAAAAATTAAAATTAATAAAAGTAAAATAAAAATAAAATCACGACGTTTCGGAAGCAACACAAGCTTCCGTCTTCAGGTGGAACCGTCACAGCACGATAGCTATATCAAGTGAGAGGTGTCCAATAAAGTTTGAATTGGTCTGTAATAAAGTAGGGCACCGATAAGGGGTTGACAGGTCTGAGCTTGTATGAAAACATTGTTTGGGTATCGCCAGCAAAATGAGTTTCACATGAACATTGTTCCCACATTTCTGCCAGCGAGCTTAAAAAAATATATCAGTTTTTCCAGTTTGTTTTTAAAATCTCTTAATATTGTCAGCAATTATTCTTTGTTTTTTTTCGGTAAAGTCACGTATAAAAATAAAATAATAAATTAAATAATAGCATACGACGTTTCGATTGCAACACAAGCAATCATCATCAGGTATAATGAAATAGCGGCATAGAATATAACCAGAAAACTATAGACAGACATATAAGCAGACAGATATCACCAGAATACATAGAGATTGTCAGCAATATTTAGTTTTTTTTTCTAATGTAAAATTAATCGCACGCCTAACGTTGCCTCGACGGTGCCCGGTTAACTGTCCGCGGCACGCGAGAACCGCACGTGCGCTCGGTGGCCTGTGTTGTACCGTGGTGCGTCACGTGCTGCGTCACGTGCCGCGTCCCCCACGTTGCTCTCGTGTCAAATTGTAACTTGGGCACCGCCTCCACCCCCAGCTGATGCTGCTGCTGTTGTTGGTTTGACGCCGGGATGTGCGATCTGCAGACGCTTGCTGCCCTCTCCTGGCTTCCAGTTGCCGTGGAGACTTGGGCAATAAATTGTTTGGAATGTTATTGCGGTCGGAAAGGCTTTGAGTTGTTGTTGAAATCCTGGTTGCGGGGTTCGCTTGGGGTATCATTCCCTTCAGGGTTAATCAAATGAGGACAGCTTCACAAGTGGTGGGGGGGGGAGAGTGGAGCGGTTGTGTATGGATGGACTTGGTCCTGTCATACGGATGTGGAACTTTCACCAGAGTCTTAGGGCTGTAATGAGAAAATGGGCACTACCTCAAGTCTCATTTAAACAATAAATTTTGATTTGCTTGTTTTGGTCAAATCGGGATATCAAGCACCGTGCCATGCCTTGGCTTTATTCATTCAGCCGTTAGTCGCATAAGTGAACGCTCCCGTATGTTCAGATAACTGCTGCTGGGATCGGATCTTGTATTTGCATATTTAATGCAAGTGTGTGTGTTTTTTAAAATTGTATCGCAAGTGGTCTGCATGTGTGCATGATGCACCTTTGTGATTTTTTTCTTGTATGTAGATCAGGGGTAGGTAACTACTATGCCGAGGGCCAAATAGGACATTCAAGTACACTTTGAAACAATCACACATGAACACCACACCCTGGCGTTATTAACGCAAACAATAACGTGCGTGTCCACCGAGTATGGAGGAGAGACCCTTGCAGAAACAGGAGTGGACTGCGGCCGCTCAGGAACTAACTGAAATCGGTGATCACTTTCACGAGTGGTCACCGACACACTTCGCAATAGAGACATTGGAACGCCATTCCAGTGTCCGGCACTCCCGAACACTTTTTTGTCAGCTCGGTGAAGTAATGACTAGCGGGTGAGGTTTTTTTTTTTAGCGATGCGGCCCTTTAAATTCGAGCAGGTGGTTTGTAAACACGTTGGGAAGCTAGCCCATAGCGTGTCTTTAAAGTTAGCAGGCGTGTTTGCTGAGCGACCTTTTTTATCAATTATATCTGCGACCACTATAAATTATCGTAAAAAAAACATTTGGCGCCAGTTTGAAAATATTCCTCCTGCTAAATAGTAAATTAGTGTGCTGTGTGCTTTTAAATGATGCTTCACACCGACGGGTAAACATCACGGCCGGCCTCGCGTGGCCACGAGCCGTAGGAAATCAAGTTGCGGGGGTCGTGTTTAGCCCACGTGCCGTCCTGTAATCCACCGATGCTGGTTTCTTTTTACCAGAGCCCGGTAGTAGGTGTTGACTTGAACGTTGCCCGACTTAGCTGCCGTTTTAGCCGTTGATGATGGAGGCGGTGGGGGGGTAGTCCCCAGGGGAGGGGGGGAGGTGGTCCCTGGCACTGGGGCCCATGCAACCTCTCGACCCCACTGTTGTATGCCTAAATATTTACTGAAGTAAATAGTTGAGATTTCTGCTGCTGCCACGTTCCGCTCACTGCCGTTCCCACTGCGTCCCCCCCCACCTCCCCCCACTGTTCGTGCCATCCTAGGCTTGCGGGCCACTCCTTGACACCATGTCTCCGCCAGGCGCCGGTACCATATTTGGAACGTTGAGGCTGCAGCTGGAAGGTGGTGCCACGGCTGCGTGCGACGCGTCGGTGAGCTCTCGTCGTCGCAGCTTGTCAAGCCATTGCGGCGTGCAGGCATACTCGCCCAGCAGTGGAACGGCGCACGACTCGTGGATGACGAATTTTCTTGACGGCGATTAATTATGGCCACGGAAAAGTCTCGGGGAATTTTTTGAACCGTACACACAGAAGCTCAGGTGTACTGTACATCCAAACTTAATTGGAGTGTTTTACTCACGTCCAGCTCTGATGCCACCGCAGCTGGGAAAAGTGGCAGAATAACTCAGTGTGGCCTATGACCTAATCACCTGGAATTCGCCCAATCAAAATACAGTAAAACCCTTGGTAATTCGACACATATGGGCCTCTGGCCTTGCCGAATTAGCCCATATTCTGAGTTGTGTACAATGGTACTCCCCAGTGTGTCCTGCTCCAATAAATGTTTTTTTATGTGTTTTTCTAAACTCTTCACAAACCATACGCATTGCACACACCTTTATCAATTGTATCCAAAACTTTGCATTTGTCTCGCAGACTAAGGGGTTTTATACTTCGGTCCCTTTCTATTGCTTCTTGATTCCTGCGAGGGGTGGCTTGCACAGAGTGCATCAACAAGGTAAAGTCCAAAGCGACAGGTCTGCACTGACGCTCACCACGTGCGCTGCTACCAGAATGAGTCGTCGTTTTGGTCGTGGTGCGCGGCGTCGCTCCACATGTATGCCGAAATTGGACCATTCGGTACGGCAATGCTTCTCATGGAGAATTACCAACACACCATATATACGCCGAAAGAGCAGCCGCGCCGAATTAGCCCCTATTACGAATGATCAAATACGGAAATAACGAGGTTTTACTGTGTCTCAGAAGCCAAGTAGGATATTGAGCCGTGTGTGTGCTTGGGATGGGACGCCACCTGGCAATACCAAGTGTAGGAGGCTCATGGGGGTGCGAGGTGACGACAGGTCCAGCAATGGAGTCTTGCATATCGCTGTGCAAAAGTTTTGAGCATTACCCTGCTTGTATACCCGTGGCTTTTCTGCAGCTACTTTGCTATCCTCCCAGTTTCCGTCGATCGGTATTTAATTCTAAAAGGCACAATTCGCAAGATGATCAAAACGCCTTGAGAACTGCTCCTTACAATCCGCATGCGTGTCGCAGATTCTCCAATTACACCGCCGCGTGGCCCAACATGTCCAACGCTGCGGAGAAATCCCGGAGAACCAAGATTCGTGTGTGTGGAACTTCTTTTGGTACCGTACGTAGCCAACCGTGCCAATCGGAGATGCGAGATGATAGGAACGGCTCTTCCGATCTCTCGCGACCAGGAGATCGTTCATAACCCACGCCAGAGCTGTCTTGGTACGATGCCTCTAATGAAAATCTGATTGGAGAAGATTTTTTACCTGCCATCCCCCTCCTGCCGCCCCTTCCCCTCTGCCTCAACAAGGCCCCCTTGGGAAGCTGCACCAACCCAGAGAGCAGGAACTGCAGATCCCCCCGCCCGCGTCGTTTTCACCGTGTATATGCGTTGTCTGTCGTGATTTGTTGCGATGGGTTCAATAAAACAAAAGCCAAAACATTTGATGGGAGAAGCTTTGTTGGAAGTATCGTGATTAATAAGATCCTCCAGTTGTAGTGCAACCACTTTCTCATTAACCTTTGCCTGCAAAGGAGAAGCTCGTCAGCTCTAGTTGGCAGGAAGGGCCTCGCCAAAAGTAAGTCCCTTAATCCTTTCCCGTTCCAAGACGGTCTGCAAGGTGCAGAGTGGGGGGTCCCGTTCACCGCTGAATCTCGGATCGCGCAAGCGATTCGGCGTGAATTTTATTTACTCGCGCTGCTGTTTTTAAAGACATTGGACTGTACGTACCGCAGAGAACCGTAGCGACACGACCCACACTCTACGATAGCTGGTGCCAAACTGTGCCACACACCCTCCCGCATGGTCTCTTGCTTCCCATTCCATTCTGAATCGATTCGTTGACGAGTATAAATTATTATCAATATTATTTCCTTATGTTTCCGTGCACGTTTAGTTTTGTATTTGTAGTGTACGGACACTCACTGCTTACACAGCTCTGCAGTGTCCAGATGTTAAATACCTCCCCTGGTATACAGTAGTTCATGGGATCGATCACGACCCTGATCATGTCTGTATGTTTGGAGTTTGCGTGTTCTCCCCGTGGTCACTTCGATTTTTAGAATCAACGTGCGTTTAGAGTTTGGTTTATCCGCACCTCCGATTAGCACGGTTGGCTACGTACGGTGGCAAAGAAGTTCAACACACATGCTATAAATTTCCACGTGATAAGCCACTTCGTTGGGCTATCATTTGTGATAGCCAGGTTGCTTCTGAAAAAGAGCTACACAGTTCAGTGTGCCTTACCTGGAACAATAAAAAGTTAAATTTGAGTATAACATTAATCCCGAGTTCCATTCGAAGCCACGGCTCACATCGGTGGAAAATTTTATCTGAATTGGTGCCTACCTGGTTGTTTCCCCTTCACCTACCCACTCTGACGATCCTAGTAGATGCAAGTTTATCGAAAGGACGGTATTCGTACCATTCTTATATCGCGAGGCTCGGGCAAAGGTGTTGTGTTTTGCAGTCGAAGTCTGCATTGGCGGAAGAGCATTTCTGGCCAGACAACCCTCATGACCACCAACACGTTGTCCTAATCGAGCAGCGGTGACGGGCAGGAGGGCTGTAATAATATCTATTTATCCCATATGTCCGTTAGTGGCATGGGGGTCAAAGCTTTACTCCACAATACAAAAAAAACACGTATAGGAAATCTAAGCAAATCACACACCAAAAGTTCAAATGATACTGAGCAACTTTTTTTTTGAACCAGGTGTAAATCCCACTGAGCTCTTAGATTGATTATTTGTCAGAAGCGACCTGGCCACAAATGACGGCTCAACGAAGCGGCTTATCGTGTGGATAAGGGCGGGTGCCACCAGGGTAGGTGCGGGGGGGGGGAGCTGCGTTTGCGATGTTGAATGTTGTTTTGTTTACGTCGGTTCCCCCCCCCCACTGTGCACGTTGCGTCTGCAGGGGTTCCCGATGCGCGTCCGCACGCTCAGCAGTTCGGAGCACCGGCCCCCCGGCACCCCTGGCGCTGCCGCCTGCCGTCTGCACGCGTCGCTCTCGCCATCGCCCAAGTCACTCGCCCCCGGCCGGTGGGTCAGAGCTCGCGGGGCCGTCTCTCTGTTGGGGCCCCCCCCCCTCTCTCTCCCTGCCGCCCCCCCCCCGCCCCTCGCCCTCAAAGCACGTGCAGTCGTGGCGGAAACGTGGCGTCACCGCATCGATTTTTTTATGTCGCTTCTTATAGGGTCGCGATGCACATCCTCAGGTGAAGAAACAGAGCTGTTGGAAAGACAGCGCTTCGCATTGGACAGCGCTCCGCATTGGAGCGCTGTCTTTCAGACAGCTCTGTCTTCACCTGAGGACGGCTGCTTGCGTTGTGGCCGAAACGTCGTGAGAATTTTATTTTATTATGTTTTATTTTTATTATTTTATTATTTCCCTTCTACGTGACTTTACCGAAAGAACCAAGAAGAGGTAGTTTTTAATTTTGGCAAATTTGGACCATGACGCTGGCACACAACGGCCTACTCTTTTTTTTGTAATGGCGTCGGTGGGATCATGAATGTCCGCCGAGTCACACGGCGCGTAGTATTATTATTTATTGCGCCCGCAGTATTAATCGGTGTGGCCGATTGGATTTGAATCGCAGAGCTCTACGACAAGCGGTGAACGCGAGCTACCGCTGGGCCACGTCACTTCCCAAATTGTGAGAGTTAACTGTGACGGCCTTATTCAGATTTCCCTTACCCCTGGTGTAGAGAGAGCACTGAGATCTCACAGCACAAGGCTCTAACACGCTCTGTTGAGACCTGGGCTCAATCACAATTTGTCACCCGTAACGAATTGCAATGTAATTGTATGTTTCGGCTAACGTCGCTGTGGTAATTACCGCTCGGGTCTGGCTCTGACGTATGTATCGATGTAGAACTTCTTTCGCACCGTATGTATCAAAGCGTCCTAATCGCAGGTGCGGGGGAAGGACACCAAACGCAAAAAGAAGTTTTAAAAGAAATGAGTTTTCCATCGAAATTATTTCAAAGTGCATAGCTCCAGTTGGCTTTCTAATATCGGCAGGAAGATCGTTCCAGACGGCCACAGAAGCGCGTGACGCGGGTGGCCGTCTCGGTCCGACGGCCAGCCACAAGTCCAACGCCGACCGATTCCCCCTCGCTTTTTTTATTGCAGGAAAAGCCGCGGGGAGGCCAAGAAGTGCCGCAAGGTGTACGGCATGGAGAACAAGGACATGTGGTGCACCGCGTGTCGCTGGAAGAAAGCCTGCCAGCGGTTCAATGACTGAGCTCCGAAAGCCTCTTCCTTCCAACACTTTACCACCCACCATAACCCCACCCCCCACCACATACTCCAGGCGTTCGGTTCGGTGTGTTTCGATCGGTCGCAGGTTTTACCGAGACTCTCGTTTTTGCCCCGGCATTATTACGATCGTCCCGCGTTGGTCTGCGTCCACCCTTTTGCACTATGGGACGCTTGAGGTGGTGAGGTGGGAGAATGAAACTTAAAAAAAAAACAATGCTGGCGACACTTTTCTGCGGTAGAGCTCGGGTGCGCGTGCTGTGGTTGGGTTTTTTTTTTTGTAATTCACGGAATCGGATGGAGGGTTTGTACTGGAACGACGCGACTCGCTCCCGACACAGTTGCCACTCGAAACCTCCAGCAAAAGTACACGACGTCAATTTTTGCCCCTTTTTTCAAATTTTCCTTTGAAAAGTGGTCAACGTGGCTGCCAAAGCGTGGCACGCGACCGCCACCGGAAATTCTCGGCCCCGTTTGCCGAGGACGATAGCCTACAGCTCCCCCCGCCTCCCCTCTCGCTCCATCTTCCATCTTCGTTGTGAGCCTCTGCGGCCGAGGCTCGTGTTGGGTTTGCCATGCCGGTAGTTTTACGAGGAGAGAAAACGTTATTCTCCACTGCCTCTTCTCTTGGCGCCAACCCTGCAACGTCTTCGCTGTGCAAGAGAATATACGCGAGCCCGCGCCCTTGTTGGGCACCTGAATGTACGCTTGCGACAAACGTCGAAGGGCGCGTAGCGGAGTGGAATCCAGGAACCCCCCGGTAGGGCTTTTGAAGAATTGTTAACTTTCTCAAGTTTTAATTGCGCGGGGATTATTATTTTTGTTCCCATTCCTTGCGACTCCAGCAGAGGCGCTCGGTAACGAATCGTCGTGTGTCTTGCCGTACAGAAGCGTTCGTGCGCCACGGACAAAACCTCGATCCGATTTTCTGGGCAGCCTGTATCACGCGTTCGTCAAGCGCACATTGGCGCAAGAGCTTGGTGCTTACATCGGTCACACTTGTTTTGTGCTTGCCCAATTGGCCTTTTGGAGACGGCAGGGATATCATGAAGTCAAAGCAAGGTCAACTTGCATGGGGTTATAATTTTTTTGTCGCTGCAGCTGGCTTTGTTCGTAGGCTGCTTCCGCAGGCTCTCCGGGAAGAGAGACGACTCCGTCGAACTCGTCTGCCTTCGGGTTCGTGTGAGCGGTTGTCGTTCGGCGCCGTGGTTTTCGACGTGCGGAGAAGCGCGTCGCGTTGCCGCCGCCGGCCGCCTGTCGCGTCGATGGAAGTCGGCGAGGAAGAGAAGAAAAATATGCAAACGTTGTACAAGCGCTTAACGCGGCTCCTCGCATTCGTTTGGCAGCGCGTGCCCGTAATTGTCTTTTCAATGCCAGGACCTCTTACAGAGCAGGAATGTTAAAACGGTGATACAGAATGAATGTAATCGTGACGATGGATGGGTGGTAGCGTGCCCCCCCCTCCCACCAAGCCGTGTGCCCCCGCTGCTGCTGCTGCTGCTCCCCTTTCCCTCCCTGGAGCAACGTATCCCTGACGTCGGCGTCCCGAGGTTGGGGCGAGCGGGGACCCCTCGGCCACGCGGCAGCGCCCAGCTGTCGGCTGCTTTGTGTAGATCGCCGGGCACGTTCAAGAGACATTTCATCCTTTTTGCCTTTTTCTTTCCTGTGACCAAAAAAACCACGGGTCTCTCATTTTGTAAGAAAATGTACAAGCACGACTCTTTAAAACAAAAACAAGACCTCATTTCGAGCATTTGTTCACGAAGGAACATTTCTAACAACTTCTCAAAAACGTGTGATGGTTATTGTTATTTTTCTCTCTCTACCACCGCCGCCGTCAACGTGTTTTAGTTACCTGCAGCTTTCTCTCGGGGACCCTCTGCAATGTCTTTGGAGTAGTCGTTAGCGGCGATAATTTTAGGCTCGGACACGGCGCTCTTCCCCTGCCCGTCGGCTTGTATAACAACGCAACGGCTACGCATTCAACAAATACAAATGCTTTAAACTGTAGAACAAGCCGGCGCCCTTTCTGTAACGAGCCAGTGTGCGTGCGTGTGCGTTTCCATGGGAAGATGCTCGTCAATGCGGGTGAAAATAGCAGGTCCGTGATGGTAAATGTTTAAAGCTGGTGCGCACGCGTAACTGTTGATGATGTTCTCTTTTGTAATACTTGGCAGGGGTTTAAAGAGGATTTTTCTACACTCGGATCTGCCACGGAAGAGCACAGACTTGTGTGACCGCGCATCGCTTAGCCGGGCTGCACAATGGGCTGTAAAGAATGTAGGGGGTTTTTATGCGAGGCTGTGAATTCATTTGTTTGAGTCAGTTTGGCAAGCCACGTTCACCGTTTGCTGCGGCGGCAGTGTCCAAAATGTGTGTTTGTACGGAGTGGCGTAAAAAAATATATATATCCGGGGTGTCATGATTCGTCAACACAGCTCTTATAAAAGTAATTGCACATTTGTGTGTATTGAAGCGTAAGGATGTATTAGCAACAGCAGCAACGGTAGTAGTAGTCGTAGTGGTGAATAGTTATTGAATAGTATTAATAGATACAATATATATACGTAAGATGAACGTCTTCTTCAAGCAGCATTTTTGAGAAGAGGCCAAGAACTGTGTCCACCGTCGACGTTTTGGGTAATAACTGGTGTAACGATGTGCCTGCACTTGTAGTCTCGGGACGCCGTCTCTGCTATGGGCTAGCGGTGTGGTCCGCATGGTGCGAGGCGGAGGGAGCCGGGCGCTTGGCTGATGTAAAGGTGCATGGCATTGGATGCCTAGTTTCAACGATGTCTTCCCCCCCCACCCCAACCTCCGATTACAATGCCGCATTGGCCACGCGTGGGGTCCTGAACTGCCGAGAATGGCACCGCGTTTAAGTGTTTAAAGTGGTGTCTGAAACCATCAAGCCACCGCAGTTTCAAAAGTTCTCCCTGCTGTCGTGTGAGCGGCCTGTCCTCCCTCCCCTACTGCTTTCCACCCCTTAACCGTTATTAGATACGCAACGGTACGGCGATCGGGAGTGAAAGTGGCGTCCGACACTAAGCACTTATGTAACGGAACCTGACTGTGGATGTACATAGATGGGGCGGTGTGTGTGTGTGCGTGTCGTGGTGCTGGCCACCCATCCCTCTCGTGTGCCGTGCCGGCCTTCATGGGTGCTCGCCTAACAGCACTTACACCCCCGAGAGTCTGTTAAGGCTCATCCGGGGCGGGTGGTGGTCTTTGTCTTTGCGTGCCCCGTGAGCGTGTCCCGTAGAGAGGGGGGCGCGAGCCACTCCGGGTTGGGTGGCGACGATCCCCCCTTTTTGCCAGCCCACACACGGGGGGGTGGGAATGTGCCTTAGTCTGTCTGTGCATCACCAGCACAACCTTTCGAAGACCAAATTGCCAAAACCTGCTCGAAGTTGATACGCATTTATTTCTCTTTCTCCTTGCTAGATCGGGATAAGCTATAGATTTGTAAACAAACAATATATATAAAATCGAGTCCAGTACCATCGTTTTTACTTTCTAGTATTTTTTTTTCAGTCGTCCGTATGCACCCACCCCGAGGACAACTCCAGACGGTGGTGGTATGGGCGGCTTCTCATTGTGTTCACCGTGTCTTTAGGTTTTGCCTAGTTTGTGTGTTTGTGTGTGTGCGCGCGCGATGAGTATTTAGGCCATGATGCAGTCGGGCAAATTGTAGGGAGCGGTGGCGTTAGCGGTCAGCGCGCTGCGCTATGAACCCGGTGACCCGAGTTCGATTCCCGCTCACGGCCAACACCGGTGAACCGGTCATGGGGCCTCCTCCTCGGTCGACTCGGCCTCAATTGAGTACCTGGTGCGATTGTGTAAACATCCATGGGGAGACAAAGGCGGGCGAGCGTGGTGTTGGCCACCCACCACCCCCTCGTGTGCCGTGCCAGCCTTCGTAGGCGCTCGCCAACAACACTTGCCCCAACGGTCTGTTCAGGCTACACGGAGGAGGGGAATCTTTGTCTTTGATGGGTATTTAGGGCCACGATGGAAGTCGGGGCGAGCATTGCTCTCATTCACCTCCGACGGCGATGGCTTCAGTTTCTTTGATTGTGTGTTAAGGAAAAGCAAAAGCATGCGGTGTAATCAGTCGTTGCCAAAATCTTAATGAAATGCTGAATTTTTCTGCCAACTCCTAAGTGGGCAACTGAGATGGCGTCTGCCGGTCAAGTGACGGGAGGTCAAGACTGCGCCAAGGTTCGCGTGCTCGGCTGAGACCGATTCGTTAAATAAAATTAATATTTCGAGAAATGTTTGTTTTAATTGGGCTCGACAGCTGCGCTGCTCGCTGGCACGTTCAAGTCTCGAATCCGGACGAAACGATCTCGCGCCCCCCGCGCTCCCTCCTGGTGGCCGTCACCAATGACGGCTTCTGTCATCTGATCACGGAGGGTGGTAACGTGAATAGCCCACGGCGGTGCGCCCTGTAGACCGACCGACCGACCGTCCAATTCCACTTTGATCCCCATTTGCCGCAGTGGCTCGTGTCGTCACTGTCGCCGATGCTGCCAGCGACTTTCCCCCACTCACCACCCCCCCCCCCCCTACAAGTTTGCCCTCGTGTATCTTGGCATTTAACTTTCCGATGCTTGGCAGGACGTGTGGTGTTTACGAGTGTGTGTGTGCCCGTGGGGGTGGGCGGTGTAGTGGGGAACGGTGGTGTAGCGGTCAGTGCGCTGCGCTACGAACCCGGGTTCGATTCCCGCTCACGGCCAACACCGGTGACGATTATCTGGAACCGGTCCCTGGCCTCAAATGAGTACCCGGTGCGATGCGTAAACGTCGCCACTGGGGAGACAAAGACGGCCGGGGGTGATGCTGGCCACACCCACCCCCTCGTGTGCATTGTCGGCCTTCATAGGTGCTCGCTAACAGCACTTGCCCAAACGGCCCGATAAGGGTATACGGGGGATCTTTGGCTTTGTGTGTGGGGGGGGGTATGGGCCACGTGGTCGCAGGCGCGTGCGCTGTTGGATTGCCGGTCGTGTGCTGGGTGAGCCGTCTCGAAGCCAAAAAAAATAACTCAAAATGCTGCTATTGCGACAACACTGCTAGCATTCCTTTTCCACGTGTCATGCAAAAAAACCATATTACGTCTCGGTGGACGGCAGTATTACTGATCTATTTTTTTACTGTACACGGTGGAATTTCTTTTTCGTTTTTGTTAAGTTATAAAACAAATTAGAACTTTAGTTGAAAACTATTTCAGTTTCGGATACAATTTTTTTTTGCCGCAAAAGGAATTGTTCAACAGTGGATATACCATCTCGTAACGTTGTTTTTTGTTCGTTGTTTCATGAAAGTGGATTGTAACTAACGTGTGGCCGTGTTCATATGTCGGTGATGGAGGGGCGGCGGGCATGGTGGTGTGGGTGGGTGGCCCAGCCAGTGGCACTGGCGCGCAATATGTGACCCCGCTCGACCGATAAGCATTGCGCCAACATCATCCCACGCTCCCTTCAGTTCATTTCTACAAGGCGGCATTGGGTTGGAGCCGGGTTGCCACTGCGTTCGCCACCCACCGCCTCCTCTCCGCAAATTATTTAAATCGTGGCATCGTGTTCCCTCGCCCACACCCGGTGGGAAGCGACGATGCACGCAGAGCAGCGTGGAACGTACCTATCTTTTTTTTTTGCGTGGAGGGGTTGAAGTGTTAGATTGCGCAAGGATCTATTGGATGGAGAGAATGTTGTATCTGAATGTAGCCTCCCCCCCCCACACACACATACACCCCCCCCCCCAATCGAATGTGGGATTAAAGTCTTGTCTTCTATAATTGACTCCTTTCGTGTATGATTAACACTGTGAATGCAAGTCCAACAAAGTGAAGCCGAAAATAGTTTCTATAATAATACTACGAAAAAAATATATGAAAAAAATATGTCGCTTGGATTGTGATCTGCGCGCTCATTACTCTATGCGCCTCTTTGTAAATCTCTACACTGACGTTTTCTACTGTAATACTTTTTTTTTGTACATACACAAGTTTGACGCGAGGACAAAAAACGGACGGCACTTTGTGAATGGACCCCTGTGTTTGTGAACGGCGCGCTCTGGATGCAGACATTGACGGGTGGCCTTTTATTGTGTGGCTGGTGGTATGGAACGTGGCCAGCGTGTGTCGAATGGCCCCCTGTCTGTGGACGGCTTTGCTCCGTTTTGACTGTTTATTCGTTCATTATTGTATGTCCGACGTCTGAATTTACTGTGTAAACCTGCCCGCTTAATCCAAATAAAGGCAAATGCTTCGATTATCCACTGGTTCTGTGTGTGTATTTTGCTGCGTCAACAATTGTACGCTCTTCCTTCCGTCATTCGGAAGCCACTGGAGCTACGGCACTGTCAAATCTAAATTGAAAACCCCATTACTTTAGAACTGCTTTGTGTGCGTGTTTAGTTTGTTGTCCTTATCCCGCACCTCCGCTTAGCACGGTCGGCTACGTACGGTGCGAAAGAAGTTCAACGTACACCTGGGTAAGCCTGGAGGCGCACGCTTGATCTCGCACAGGAGGCGGCTTTGGTGGATCGTACAAAAGTTGTGAAACATCCATTCCCGTGGGAGTCGAGGAGGTGCCATTCCCCTGTCTTACCAGGAGATGGCGGTACAGCAACAATGTCGACCCTCTCCCAACATGTATGGACATTGAATTGGGCGGTATACCACCTTGAATGTAATAAAGGACCGCAGAGCTTGGAGGGGGAGGGGTTAATTTGCCACCGGCTCACCGCGTGGCTGCAGTCTCCGCTTGATTTGTGGTTCCCACCCCCCCGAGTCGTTCTCTGTCTTGCAGAATGAGCGAATTCGGTGCGGTGCGTCGCGAGGTGGAGTTATGATCGCGTAACAAGGTGGCATGGAGATGCCAGCAACCTTCATTGTGTCAGCCCGTCATCGGTCACCAATATGGTGAATATTTAGCATTGTCAAGCCATCTGGTTTAATTCTTGTTCGTCTCTGAGATGAAAGTGAACTAATACAAATTACCAAATGTACAAATTGGCACGTTCTGTTTACGTGACGACCCTTACTATGCAACTCATTTACGTGATCTAACCCAAAACTATCTCATGGATTATAAATGTACACTTGTGCGAAACAGAATCCGATCTCTGCGTTTGAATGAATGAACGCTTTTTCAAGTTGTGTATGCATGCGGGAAGTGCAGCAGCGATTGTAGGAACGTGTCTCCAACGCGTCCCGTGCCTTTCCACAAAGAGAACTTGTCAATAGTCACGGACAAACCGACCCAAGTTCACATCCTTTCGTGTGCCAAGGCGTGGCAGTCACACGAGTCGGCTTGGTCACTGTTTTTTTTTTCATTAGCGCAGCACAATCGAACACGCGGGAAAGAATGAACCTGGAACGTCGGGCTCGCGATTCGTCGGCAGGTGCAAAGAGCGAGCGAGAGACGAAGCCGCATCTGGGCTCGCGATCGCCCCGAAATGATCGATGTCCCTTTCCTGTGATGCGTGGGGTGGCACGGGTCATTACGGATCTTAGAATCGGGAACTTTTCATCCGCAGGTAACATTGTGGCGAGGTTTTGTCTCGGGTTTAATATATTGCTGCTTGCGTTCGGACATCCGCCTGTCCAGTGGTTTTATCGGTAGCACACCGGCTGGGCACATGCTTTCCACCCATCTTATCGAGGCATTGTATCTCTAGATAACAAATGTGGATGATGGCAAGCCTCACCCCGGTAGCTTATTACGAGAAAGGTATTGTTAGAGGGCGGTTATCGGAGTAGAATAAAATTAAAGGCTTCGCTCTTTCCGGCAATGAATACCGGGGAGGTGTTAAGACGTTCTAACGCCAACTAGACGCCCATTGAAGGGCATCGTGTCCGTGAATCGCACAGACGAAGTATTTAAACTAGCAAACAAACACGCATTGGCCTTGAAACTGATTGTCATACAACCGAGACCGCCTCTTTCCATGGCTTTGTCTCAACGGGGCTATGGAGCGAACGGTACAGGGACGGTGCAAACTCCAAAGCATGAACAGCTCGGGTTAAGCTGTTGAATTTGTTGGGCCATTTATTTTTTTGCCAGTGGAAAAATATTTATTTGAGACTGGCGAAAAAAATGGGTCCTACAGATGCACCGAAATTTGTTTCACGGGGAACCTCGAAATGGAAAAGCAAAACAACGTGACCGGCAATATGCATGCAATGTGAAAATGAATGTTACGCATGTCTATGTAACAGACTGCTGTGTATATATATGTGTGCACACCTACATTGCCAGCTGCTCGTGGTGGTGGGTACTGACCATCAGTGCCGGATTATCCTAGTAGCAAAAGTAGCTACATATGTAGTAGCTACGGGCCCCACACTTTCAAGGACCCCGCGCTAAATGCTTTCAAGCTATCAACTCCGGTTCAGTGATTGTGCACTTGCTCTATTACTATAGTACTATGCTGCCTTCAACTTTTATGAACGACTGTGTGTTTAAGGTTAGCGATTTGTCGTATTATCTGTCTGTGTATAGCAAGTGAAAAAAAAACAATTACTTTACTACGCAAGTTAAACATTTGTGTTTTAATATTTTTTTTTTATTTAGGGCCCCTTTATAACATCATGCTACAGGCCACGCACGAGCTTGTCCGCCACTGCTGATCATGGTGGATACTCGCCGCATTTGCCACCCCAGGTGGCAGCAACCAAAACCCTTCGCTCGCGTGCTGATTGAGATCGAGAGTCTGGAGAAATCCATAAATAAAAATGATCAGTAACGTGTATTCAGCAACGTGTATCCAGCAAAGTGTATTCAGCAACGCCGAGTGTATCGCAATTTACAGGAGGGTGCTAGATTTAAGTGAGGCCAATGTTTTGTTTTTGTTAATGTTTTATTCATATGACTTTTTGTATCTGGGATGAAACTGGAGTTTACCTAAAGAAAATCGAAGCGCCTATGCACGATGGGGGGGGGGGGGGCAGACATATATATTCGCACAGATGGTTTCACGAATCCATTAGCTCTACTGCCATCTCTCGACCACCACGCATTCCAGGGGAGGTTCAGGAATACTTCACGAATCTCCACCTTGTGCACGAAGCCTCGCGTCCAAGCGCCCCGGATCAGAGGCACGCACCACCGCAAAAAAAAACCTCTCCAAAAGCTTGCGGGCGATGGGAAGGTGAAGGCGCACGCTGACATCAAGGTGGTTTGCTGCGTCTCTTACTCCCGTGCCCGGACAACAGCACCTCCGATTAGCACGGTTGGCTACGTACGGCGCGAAAGAAGTTCAACATGCATAACGTACGACACGCGTATTGGACACTGATTAGAGTGCGTAATAGAGGGGGGGGGCGGCGGGTTGGGTTAGATCGCGTAAATATATAAATGTGTCGTTAAAACCCGCCACCACCCGACACAGCCACAACATTTACAATCTGTGTACGACGTTTTGTAATTGTCGTGGCTTTGCTCTCCAACACACCGGTGGTGCTGTACTAGTGACGAATTGGCCACGTTCTGTTTACGTGACAACCCTTACTGTCTGTGTCGGGTGGTGGCGGGTTTAACGACACATTTATAAATTTACGCGATCTAACCCAAACAAATCTCTACGGATGATATTGGTCGCGAAAGCTTGCGTGATGAACCGATTAGAGTGACTCGGCTTTTAAAGCACGCCTTCTCAACAAGCTCGTGCGTTTCACGACTTTGAGCCCAGCCGACGCCAAGGGTGATTCGTTCATAGACCAGCCCGTTGACATTCACAGAGCGAGATTACGGGGAGGAAAACTACGTTGTCATTTCACAACCCCTGTAGATGTGTCCCACCGCCAGTTTTCAAATACATTCGAGGTATTCCATCGTTTAAAAAAACAACGATATCCGTCTAATTCAGGGGTGGGGAACGTCCGGCCCGCGGGCCGTATAAAGCCCGCAAAATCATTTGGTGTGGCCCTGCCAAGGCAACCGCAGGCGGGACTCGAAATTCAATAAATCTAGGAGCAAACCTGGAAAAGCAGTTGCGAGTAGCAGCAACATCAATACCAGCTAACATCATCACACGCCTCGCCAAAGAGAAGCAGTTCCAGCCATCGCATTAGGGGTGAGTTAATTAAATGTTTGACCAAATATAAACGGGCGAATTTTTTAGTTGATAATTTTGTATGGCCCGCGAATGATGTTATAAATATCCAAATGGCCCTTGGCAGAAAAAACGTTCCCCACCCCTGATCTCATGTATGGGACCATCCCATTCGCACGATATTAGAGATGGGGCGGGGTGTCTATGGATGGATCGCCCTGGATCAGTTGCCCTCCTCGTTCGGGCTACGTGCGCGTCGAGAGTGCGCGTCGTGACTCTCTTGAGCCGTGTCCAAACCCGAGCCATCAAGTTGCAGCAACTTCGTTGCCTGCAACCGAATCGGCTTACGCGCGGACCGTCTCTGCGGGGCAGTTGTGCAACCGGTTGCTTGCTACCGGTTGCTTGCTACCGACTCCAAATCGCAAGCGTCGATCGATGTGATCTGCATCACGCGCTTGCGCGTCCGCGAACCGCGAGCTGCAAGTTTTGCAGATCCCGAATGCCCCGTTTCAATTAGCCCGTGGCGCAGCTGCTCGCTCGGACGTGGACAAAGCAGTTGCAAAGGCGATGACGTATTAAGTTGCGCGGTTTCGAGAGCGATTCGTTGCGTACTCGGCCAAACACAAGAAGCAGTTGATGGTAGGCGGGGCAGGGGGGGAGGTTGCATTTAGAACCTCATAAAGCAGAATGCGGAGAGGAATGAACGGGAACCGCTGATTAGCAGGTGCGATGCAAGGAATGGGGGGCGGGTGTCATGCGGCTTGAATACTTAGGGGGTCACGGCTACAGCGGCCCCCCCATAATCCCTCGACTGTCCGTCATCCGAACGGATGGACACGCCGAAGAGTCGGCGCATGAAGCCCTCGTTCGTCTTGAGCTCGGCCTCTGGCCACGGCCGACCGACCCTCCTCATGAATCCGCCGTAGCGCTTGCGCAAGCCGTGCTGCTGCTGCAGCTGCTGCAGCTGCTGCTGCCACTGGCCAGGCGACGATTCGCCTTGCGGCACCAGCAGCCGCCTTCCCCTCATCCGCTCCATGAACCCGCCGTAGCGCTTGGGCCGGAGTCCGTCCGCGCCGGACTCCCAAAGCCTGGCGTCCCGGAGCGAACTTCCCACGGCGGTCGCCTTCGCGTCTCCGAAGACGGAAGCGCCGAGGTCGCGTGGGGCCTCAGCCTCCTCCTCCTCAGCCTCCTCCTCCTCAGCCTCGTCCTGCTCCTGGGAGAAGCCGCGCGCCCCGCGCACAGCGCTCTGCGCCAGTGGCAGGCAGAGGCCGCACCACCCTCGTTCCGTCCCGGGTGCCGAGTCGGCGTCCCTCGGTGTCCCCGCGGCGTTCGCATCGGCCGGCACCACCCCTCGTTCCTCATCCCGGCACTCGATGGAGCAGATCTGTTTAACGGAACGCCGAAAAGAGAGAGCACCCCCCCCCACCCCGTGCAGCGTTCGGTAAGCACGCGATTCGGACTCGCATGTCGCGGAGATTTCAGTGGGAATTGAATTCGATGGAGAGGGGGGGGGGAGGTTGAGTGTGTGTGTGTCCGCATTCGCCGGCGGCTGAACCCGCCATCATCTCGATGCGCTCGAATAGAATCGAATCGGGACTCATCGTGGAGGGATGGGGGGTGGGGGATGAAATCCACGTTTCGAACCCTACGTTGTGAACGGCGCAAGCTCAGCGCTCAAGTTTCAAGTTTCATGTATTAGGTGTAGCCCTGTGAGCCATTCGGCTCTTGAATCGGGTGCAACCGCAACAAACAAAAAACAAAAACATCAACAAGAAAACATCTTAAAGTGACTATGTGACTATGTGCAAACAGAAAATCCAAGAAAAGACAGCAAAATATTACAGAAAAAGCACCGTACACCAACCCTGTGCAAATATCCCAGTGGGATGCAAGTCAAACAACAACAACAACCACAAGACAACTTAAATTAAAGCCATCAGTCTAACTCTGTACTACAACAAACAAACATGGCCAAACCGAAAAACTTTTCAAAAATCACCAAAATAAAGCCATAAAAGCTGCGACGCCGCATCTGCGAACGTCCCGAGCCGATGAGCAAAGTCGTCCGGGAATGCGCTCGAGTCCCCGTCACATCTCGATCAAGCTAAGCAGGGGTTTAATCCTGGCTAGCGCCTGGTTGGGCGCGACCAGCGTTGCACAAACAGAGAGGGTGTCACGGGGCTGGGATGCAACTGGGCGGAGGGCAGAGAGCAGTCTAGCAGAGTCGATCATTGTACTGTACTTCTAAGACACAGCCATGCTCCCCGCCCTCACCAACACCGTCAACCCCCAAGACCCGCGCAGGTTTCGGGAGGCGATCATCCAGCAGTGGATCGGCTTAAAAGGGGCGGTGTTGAAATGATTGCCGTGCATTGGCCAACCAACTCGGTTTAATCGCGGGTGGCTGAAATGCGCGTTTCGAACACACGATCTAAACACGATCTAAGCACTGCCAGTTCCATGCTCTGAAACTGCCATCGTGCACCCAAAATAATACCTGTCATGAATCTAGAGTTGAAGTTTTCGTGACTGCAGGGATCCATACTCTTTGGTTCTTTCGGTAAAGTCACGTAGGTAGAAAATAAATTAAATCACGCCGTTTCGGGCGCAACACAAGCGTCCGTCATCAGGTGGGACAACCAGAGCAAGAAACAATTTCTGAAGTGGGCAAAGGGGGCTGCTGTAACAAGAGGCTATATCGGGAAGAGACGGGGCGGGAGGGGGTGATGACGGACGCTTGTGTTGCGCCCGAAACGTCGTGATTTAATTTATGTTATACCTACGTGACTTTACCGAAAGAACCAAAGAGTATGGATTCCTGCAGCCACGAAAGCTTCAAATCAATTATATAACTACATTATAGATTTGAAGCTTTCGTGACTGCAAGGATTCATACTCTTAGGTTTTTTCGGTAAAGTCACGTAGGGAAAAATGAATAATAATCATGATAATCATCATCATTATTTCCATCCCTTTTCTACCGATCCACTGCTGGATGACGATCATCCCACGCCGTCCTTCACGACCAGGATTGTAACCGGGGTGTGCGAGAACCACAGAACCGCGGTGCAGCGCGCTGACCGCCTGCCTGCACCGCCGCTTCGCTCCTCGTCCACCTCATCACCTCGGAAATAGATTCATTATTTAGTGATGATGCTGCTGCTGCTGCGTTGGCAGTAGGCTCACAAGCGAAAAACAAAACGTCAACGCATTCCTCAATAACACTGTGACCCTTAAAAGGAACAATATATAACGAGTGACGTTTCAGGCAACGATCCGTAACACTATGAAGATGGGCCTGCCAGTGTGATTCACGAATGTTGATTTTATGTTTTTTTGCCCATCGCTGCTGCTAATACTCATCAAAGACAAAGATCCCCCGTATAGCCTTTAACGGACTGTCGGGGCAAGTGCTGTCAGCTATGACTACCTATGAAGGCCGACCACCGGCACACGAGGGGGGTGGGTGGCCAGCACCACGCCCGACCGCCTTTGTCTCCCAAATGCCGATGTTTACACAATCGCACCGGGTACTCATTTGAGGCTGAGTCGAACTCGGGTAGGGCCCAGCACCGGGCTCAAATCATCGTCACCGGTGTCAGCCGTGAGCGGGAAATCTAACTCGGGGTAGTGCCGTGGCTTAGCAGCGCACTGCGCAACACCGCTCCCCCCACGACGCTCATCGCACACAAACGCGGCGCCGAGTTGCGGTGTCTCTCTCACCAGCACCGCCAACGGCTCCACGGGTCTCGCAGCCCGACCGAGGGAGTCGTGGCAGCTGACGCGGCAGTTGCGGTGGCCGAGTGCGACGCCCCGTATCGCACTCGGCGAGCCAGCGGGCGACGTCGTGGCGTGGAGTGGCACCGGCATCACCATCGCCATCATCGGCAGCAGGATCATCGTCAGCATCGTCGTCGGCTGCGAGCTGGCACGCATTGGGTCTCCTGCACGCGCGGCCTGGACCCCACACAGCGGCGAATTCACGTGGGCGAGTTAAACGCTGCATGATGACCGCGCCACAACCTGGCTCTGCCCGTGTGACTTCGGGTTGCAACGGCGTGCTGTTCGGTATTAGGTCCGACGTTTCGCTCCGCATGCTTGGGAGTTTCTTGGGGAAGTGGTGGTGGTGATGACGATGAGCTTACTTTCATCATTTGTTGTAAAATGTGCTTACGATGCTGCATCTATGCGCGGAAAGTTGGCATTGCGCTCAGAATCCGATAACGACAACATTCTGAATGTAAACTTGATTTGGAGTAATTCTGAATGTCACTGTTTTATTTGGTCAGGTAAAGCGCACTAAGCTATTAGCTCTTAATTAGAGGTGACTTGGCTCACTCATGACAACTCATCGAAGTTGCTTTCATCATCATCATCATTATCATCATCATAAGTGAACATTCATAGTCGCAGCCAAATCATCTGAACGCGCTGCTGTTTCTAAATTCGGAGCGCAAAAACGGAAGTCCCGGAGAAAACTCAACGCGACCATCCACGAGAGAGAGAGAGAAGAGGCGGACTTCAAATAGACAACAGGCATCGTCAGGGTCCGGAACAGATCCCACGTGCTCCTGCGTGCGATGCGATGGAGATAACAACTCCCTCGCAAACAAATAGAGTCTAGGTATCGTGCGGAAAAAACGGACTTATACCATGAACAATTCAAAAATGATTTGCTTGAAAAGTAAGAGGGACTTCATCTTCATTGGTTCTTTCGGTAAAGTCACGTGACTTTACCGAAAGAACCAAGAAGATGAATCCCTGCAGTCACGAAAGCTTTAAATCAAAATTTAAGAGGGACTTGTCTTCCCCGGTGAACACGTGACAAGGGTTCGTCTCACGCCGTGTTCAGCAAAGGTGTCTTTATAAGATGACGAACAGGTAACGTCCCCGGGCCAGGTAACACACCACGCTTCAGCACTCCGCATTCAGAACTCCTCTCAATCTCTCTCGCTCTCCCCTGGCCAACATAACCCCCAGATGATGATTAAATGGCCAGCTGTCCCGAGTAATCGCATTTCTTGTCAGTCTCACTCATTGTTATGGACTTCGGTGCCAGGTTATGATCAGTTCAACGAATGATAGCTCAACGAAGCGGCTTATCATCACTGTGGAAATTTATCGCAGCCCAAATCCTCTAAACGCGTGACGTTAATTCTAAATGCGGAGGGCAAAAAACCGGAGGACCCGGAGAAAAATCCACGCGACCACACGGAGAGAGACACGCAGACTCCAAATATACAGCAGGCATCAGGGTCGAACTCACGACCTCCTGTGTACCAGGCGAGGTAGTTAACATCTCGTCCACTGTGATGATGACAAAGAGAAACACGAAGACTCCAAATATACAGCAGGAATCAGGGACCTCCTGTATACCAGACGAGGTAGTTAACATCTCGCCACTGTGATGATGACAAAGAGAAACACGCAAACTCCAAATATACAGCAGCCATCAGGGTCGAACCTAAGACCTCCTATATATCAGGCGAGGTAGTTAACATCTCCTAGCCACCGTGGCGCCCCAAGATGATTACGCATAGGTAGGTGTACCTTGTCCTCGAGTGATAACCCCCCCCCCCCACCTCTAAGGCAGGCATTGCAGCGTTTCCGAAAACATACCGAGTGAGAAACGAAGCCCTTTGCGTTCCACGTACCTGGCTGGGTCTGTCGAGAATAACGGACGAGAGAAAGAGAGACAGCCCCGGCGTGTTGTTTCTTTCTTTCCTCTTCGTTTCAAGAGAAGCTCATGCTGCTGCTGCTGCTGGTGGTGGAGACTTTGGCACAGACTGGAGGCATCACACGGCCCCTATATACAGGGTGCACGCATCACACGGCTCCACGGCGGCTGATGAATATTCATGCGAAGCGAGCCGGCTCACCGGTATCTCAACACCCTGCCGACACCCTCCCTCTTGAATAATAATAAATAATAAAATTGACGTGTCATATATATGTGACGTGGACTATATATCATATTCCACTAGTCGATACGTATTATGTGGGTCACTCAGTGAGCCCAAGACCACGGGCGGCAGTGCAGAACAATCCGTTGTTGTACTGCACTTATGTATGCTCCCTCGACTTTGCCCGTTACCTTGACACCAAGACGCACTGACCGGCGTAGAGAAATGAACCTCCTTGCCGTGTGGGGAGGCGTTCATCCAGCAGTATATTGACGAACGGGTTGTCTATCCGTGTGCATCCATAGGCTTCTACGTACGACATAAGACACGCTCCATCAATCAATCAAAGTGTATTGGTCGCATACACAGCTCAACTGATGTTATAGCGGGTGCAGAGAAATGTTTGAGCTATCAGATCCACGACATTGCAATAGATATCTAACAAATAATGAAGAAAACTTAGAAAATAAAAAAAATTCACGAAATATCAGAACGAATCCAAATTACAAATCAAATGACACCATAACAATAATCCAAATAAGAATCTGTGCGTATATGCATGGCATGAGTGAACACAAATATATGCAATGAATGATATGTACGAGAATATATATTATAATATCTGAGTAAACTCTTGGAGGGCATGACTACCAATGTATTATAATTGTTGGTGGTGATATTTTTTTTTATTCATTGTGATTATCATCATTATTTATGCCCGTGGGTTAATCTCCCAAGCTCTTTGCTGGAAACGCCGTAACGTTAGCGTAACATCAAGCAAGGCTTGCAGCCAAACACGAAATACATAAATAAATATATATACATCTCCGTTCCTTTCTCCACTTAAATAAAAAAAAATCTAATATATGTGTTTAGTCCGGGTCAGAACCATCGTATTTACAGATTAATTAAAATCAACAACAGGGTTTGTTTTAAGCAGGCAAACTCCGGGCCGGTTTCGACGTTCAGGGTCTCATCGGCAGAGCTGTGATGGTTTAGTGAATGCGGTGCTCTTACTGATGGGTTAAAACCCAACGACAATGGTAATATTATACAATATCGCCCTCTGTCAGTCCACTGCTGGATGAAGGCTCCCCAAGGCGTGCCGGCCACAGGATGTGTTTGACCGTGAACATATATAAAACATTGTGCTAACACGTGTTTTGTGGAAAAGGGTTATTGCACGAAACGTCGCCATTCACATATTTTTTTTCAAAGACAGCGTTGTTGAAACGAGGTTATTGCGTTTTTTTTAGTCTTCTTTTGTCCGTGAACTCTGCTTGTGCACCACTGTCCAACGCAGCGTTGCCGTGACGCGATGTGGTCGCCTTTCGCGAGCAGTATCCAGCTCACAGATGTCCCCCCGAGAGGCTTGGCTTCATGAGATCTGAAGACGTGGAGTGCCACGCTCCGCGATTTCGGCATCGCGCTCTCAATAATCACGACAATAAAACTGCAACGCCCCGACACATTGAGCGTCGTGGCGTCAGAGGCAGTGGGGGGAACTGCTTCGTGACTTTGCCGGCCGCTCACCTGGCCTGGTCGAAGTCAATCACAGCCACGTGGTTTGCGAGCGAGGGGGTTGGATGCTGTGGTAGCGGTTTGGGCATCTCAAGCGTGAAAAAAACACGAATTTAATTTTTTTACAAATTTTATCGGGTTATTGTTTTTTTTTTTACCCAATTTTGTCGATAAAAAAACCACGGTTTTAATCCGGCAAGTCAAGTTGTCGTCAATCGGCTGCCAGAGTTATCGGATTCGCTGTCCTCTTCGATCATCTCGGAGTGAACGAAGGCCGTGGTGGGGATGCTGGACAGCTTGCCATCGGACAGATTCCAAAGAACACAGGATGAGATGTTACTATCCTTTGTGCAAGCACTTCCAAGAGTTCATGAACAGTGAGCCTGGTGAAATTTGGGGAGCGCATCGTCAGTAGTGAACCTTTGGTTCCTAGGGTGTTTCGGCCTTTCATACTATACACCCTCCCCAAAGGCGGCCAGCGACAGGGTGATCAATCCTACGCTTGCGCCCCATTCCCAATTAGTCATAGGAGTTGCCTTGTTGTTGATAGCCAACATCCCATGGGACTATGCATGGCAGGGGCGTCCTCCTCCCTGAGTCAAGCACTGTTGACTGCATACCTCCTGGCCCTCTCACTTTGGGGCCCAGCTGGGGTCTTTCCTCTTCATCCAGAGCCACTGACTGCTGCCTTCTGCCGCCTCCGATACAGCTCTGATTGCCGAACGCTGGCTCTGGCCCTTAATTCCCAGGTCTCTAAGCAGTCTGGTTGTAGATGTTGCCACAAAACCTCTGCAGCCCACCTCCACTGGTCGGACTTCTGTGTTCCAGCCATGATGCCGTGCTTCAGCAGCTAGATCGGCATAGCGCAGATGTTTTCGCTCATAAGCCTCATCTACTGAGTCCTCCCAGGGTACTGTGAGCTCAATGATGAAGACCTTCTTGAGCGAACGGGACCAGAGCACCATGTCAGGTCTTAGGGTGGTGGTTGCGATCTCCGGAGGAAACACAAGTTGCCGGCCAATGTCAGCTAGCATTTTCCAGTCGCGGGCCAAGCGCAGCTGGTCTCGCTCTATTGGTGTAGAGCCGCTCTTCGGTGGTTTAGCCCCTTCGCGGACAAAGGTCGTCCGTAAGGGGTGTGAACGAAGGCCGTGGTGGAGAAGTTCCTCTCGGATGCAGCGCTGGACGTGGCGATGCTGGACAGCTTGCCATCGGACAGCCAAGACTCCATCAGGAGCCTTGCGACTTTTGACCACCAGTTACATGCTAATTTCTCACATTAACATCACTAGCCCCGGCCACTTCTTTATGACCCTTGGGCTACATCCCATTTCAAACCTTTTAAAGCAGTCTGCCTCAGCAGTAGGCCACGCTTTCCCACCTGATGACGGACGCTTGTGTTGCGCCCGAAACGTCGTCATTTATTTATTTTATACCGACGTGACTTTACCGAAATAGCCAAAGAGCATCATCTTGTAGCGGAACGTGTTGTTTGTCTCCTCTTTGTTGGCGGCTATAATTAAAGGGATTATATAAGCAATATCAAACCGAAAAAACCCGGATTTTTGGTCATCTGAGATGATCGGGTTTTTTTTATATAAAAACCATGAAAAACCCGATGGAATAAATCCCGATGCTGCCAGCCTTGGGACATCTCTCGCCGCTTGGCGCGCGACGTTCGCCGCGTCCCGGGACTCGAACTGGTCGGTAGCGCAATGGGAAACAACAACAACAACAACAGCAACAACAGCAACAACAACAACAAAGCCCCCTCGTCGTCAACACCAGCCAGCCACGGTAGCCGCACCATCGCTGCTCGCTCACCCACTACTGGGGGGGGGGGGTTCCCCAGATTTCATTGGCGCAGGAGCACGAACAGAGGGCCCCCCTCGAAAAGTGAAGAATACAATCGCTGAGCTTGAATGAGACCGCGTGCGGCCAGCGAAGGGAGTGGGGGGGGGTTGAGGTGGGGCCACTTTAGAATTGTTGGCACCCCGCTTCAGAAGTGCTTTTCTAGTGGGGCCCTCAAAGATGCTCGCGCGAAGTTGCAGCCCGTGGGATTTGACGGCTCGTGAATTGTCGGGGGGACCACAACACCGTGCGGGGTGGGTGGGTGTGTTGGAGGGGGGGGGAGATCCACGGAGCTGCGTGGTAGTCAACAGTGTGCCGCGGCTCCCCATTTCTACGAATTATGCTGCGGCGGTTGTAGGCGCTGGTGGCCTAGCGATGGGGTGCGACGCGCAGAGTCTCTTCGCAGCCTGGACCGCGCTGATGCTCGTGTCGGGTAAGCGAATGGCGAACTGCCGCGTCGGATAATGTTGATGGCCAGTTGCGCTGCAAGCAAGTATAGGCGCGTCACGGTGGCTAGGAGATGTTAACTACCTCGCCTGGTCTACAGGAGGTCGTGGGTTCGCTCCCAACCCTGATGACGCCTGCTGCTGTATATTTGGAGTTTGCGTGCCTCTCAACCTACGTGGTTGCGTGTTAATTGTGCGCGTGTTGAACTTCTTTGGCACCGTACATAGCCGACCGTGCTAAGCGGAGGTGCACAAACAATGGAAATGTAGATTTTGAATAGATATTTGAGGGGGGGAAACATATTTTAGTTACAAGATGTATCAATTTACACATTTAAAAAAAAGAAATCTCTATTTGACGTGTTGTGATTACCGCGTTTTTGGGCTTCCCTCTCACTCCAGCTCACCCCGTGTCGCAATTACGTTACGTCGCGTAATTCCGTCATCGCATCGCAATTCCGTTACCGTATCGCAATTCCGTTACCGTGCCGCAATTCCGTTACGTGTTGTAATTCTGTTACCGTGCTGTAAGTCTGTTGCCGTGTCGCAATTCCGTTACCGTGCTGTAATTCTGTTACCGTGTCGCAATTCCGTTACCGTGTTGTAATTCTGTCACCGTGCTGTAATTCTGTTACCGTGTTGTAATTCTGTTACCGTGTTGTGATTCTGTTACCGTGCTGTAATTCTGTTACCGTGTCGCAATTCCGTTACCGTGTTGTGCTTTTGTTGTCGTGTTGTAATTCTGTTACCGTGTTGTGATTCTGTTGCCGTGCTGTAATTCTGTTACCGTGTCGCAATTCCGTTACCGTGTTGTAATTCTGTTACCGTGTTGTAATTCTGTTACCGTGGCACAATTCCGTTACCGTTTTGTAATTCTGTTACCGTGTTGTAATTCTGTTAACATGTCACAATTCCGTTACCGTGTCACAATTCCGTTACCGTGTTGTAATTCTGTTACCGTGTTGTAATTCCGTTGCCGTGTTGTGCTTGTGTTGCCTGTTGTAATTCTGTTACCGTGTTGTGATTCTGTTACCGTGCTGTAATTCTGTTACCGTGTCGCAATTCCGTTACCGTGTTGTAATTCTGTTACCGTGTTGTGATTCTGTTACCGTGTCACAATTACGTTACCGTGTTGTGAT